ACATTAATAATATTTTTCTGGTTCGTGTTTTAGGGTTTCGTATCATCGCCGTCTCTACCTGTCGAATCGCATAAATCTCCGACTTCAAGACTATTTCTCTGCCACAAACGAGTCATGGCTGATTTCCCTACTATTCCGGATTGAAGCTTGCTTTTGATAGCTCGGAGGGAGGAGAGGATTCACATAATTTGATAAGCGATTATTTCAAGATTCAAGTGTAGTATGGATGATACCAGCCCAATGTACCATTTTCGTTACCCCCCCCCGCCTAAACGATGTGGTCATGGTTCGTGTGTTGGATATCTCTGTGAACCGAAACGTTGATGTGGTTTCGCTAGTCGAATTTGACGCCCTCAGAGGGAGGCTCCTCTTCACTGACCAAGAGCGCCCCCTCATTGTGCGTGGTCTGATGGAGCCGGGAAGGATCATGGAGTCATGCGCACTTTCTCTCCTCTCAGCCCCAGCCGCAGACTTCTCTGTGGAGTTGTGTTACGCCGGAGATTCTCCTTAACTATGGAAGGAATCAACCATGCGTAAAGAAGCGCGTGCACGAAAAATGTACATCTCAGAGCCATTTTTTGGCATGTTTTTCGTACGCTCTGGCTTCTCTGAAAGGAAATCTACTTAATGACCAACTGGCCTACCTATGAGGACGTGATGGATGAGGAGTCTGCTTTTTGGAACATGATTCCTGTCTCCTTAAGAGAAGCGTTAAGGAACACTGGAGTGAGGTATAGCTCATGGAGAATCAGAAACAACCGTGTGTTGCCTTCATCAAGATTAGTCCGAACCGATGGGTTTTGTTTCGCCGTTGCAATCATAAGACAATTTGAATGCATGTTGAAGCTCTAGAGCGGATTTCCAATAGGACGTCGTTGTCGATACATGATCTGATTAACAACATTCCACAACACTTGGTCTTCAAGTTACACGTCTTGCTTCCCAACTTATCTCCAATACCAAACCGAATTTTATTCATCTCTTTGATAACTTCCATAATCTCATTCCCAATCGCACCGCTCAATTCACCTTCAATAGCAACCGCTGAAACGTTGAGAAGCTGAGGCATGCCGGATTCGAGTTTATTATAACTTTTAATCACATACATAAGATTCAAAATCAGTAAAGAATATTACATGGTTTCAAATACGAATAACAATTAAATTATTATAACTAACTTTTTTTTGTGTATTTAGCTCAAATCCCATG